TTTCATAGTCACAGGCTCTGGCTGGCTCTGCTGAAACGGGGGACAGTGACTGGGTCCCCTGGAGCCTTCGGACGTGGGCCCGGCAGCCCCTCTCCGCGTGGCTCCTTTCTCTGGGCGCCTGTGTGACTCTGTCAGGACGCTTTCTAGGAAACTGCTACCGCCTTCCGAAGTCTCTGGGCCGTTTTACATCCACAGCAATGTCTGAGAGTTCTAGGCGCCAAACACCTGCCAGAAGTTGGTATTCTCAGCACAAAATAGCTGCACAGCCACTCTCGCTGGTATCCAGTAGTGGTTTCTTTAAAGCGTGAAGATTCCGGCTCTTGCGTGCTCCCTGGGCGTGTACGTATCCATTCGCAAAATGTCCATTCAAACACTTTTGCCCATTAAAAAAAATTGTTTTCTTACTGAAAGAGTTCTTTATTCCAGAAATTTATTTTTTTTTCTTTAAAGTTTTGGGTATTGGGCCCTCCCTGGTGGCACAGTGGGTTAAAGCGCAGCACTAAGAAGCAAAAGCCATTTCTGCACTAGTTTGATCCCCGCCTGCCCCGGAGGTGACCACAGGGTGCGGCAGACCTCTCCTGACCCGCCTGCTGCTCTCCTTAGCAGTGTACCTCATTGATCTGCCTGTTCTGCTCCCCCCTCTGCGTGTGGTGAATCCTCTCACCATCCCTGCACCTCTGGCCTGTACCCCAGTTCTGTATGCATAAATAAATGAAATCTTTAATAAAATTAATTAATTAATTAATTAATTAATTTTAAAAAAGTTTTGGGCATTGTGGGTTTTTTTCTTTAAGAATAATATTTTAAATAATGCTCAGACCGTTTTCTCAGCCCCAGGCAATCACCCATGTTACTTTGTCAGTGTAGTGTTTTCAAGTATTTTCTTTAAACTGGATGAGCGCGCCGCAGATTAGCCTTTACGCCAAGAGAAACTGACCCTTCCGCCGGCCACACGGCTTTGTGGGCAATCCACGGAAAGCCCCAAGTGTCTGTTTCTGACTGCCTGGACGTAACCCCGACCTTGCGTGGGCCCTGCTTCTCTCCCCAGCCTTAGGAAGCCAGCCCCTAAATGTGTCTCGCTGTCAGCCGCAGACTGCAGCCGGTGCCCATGCAGGTTTGGAGAGCTCTCGCGGACAGCTCCGGCTTCTCTGACCCCTGCTCCAAAACGCCGGCGGCGCTGTCCCCCAAACTCCCATTTCTCGTCCCGGCTCAGCAATACTGTCCGACTCCTCAGTGCCCCTCCCCTGCACGGCAACCCAAAAGTTGCCTCTGGCAGACAGCGGGGTGGGGGTGGGGCGCGTGGGGTGACCGCAGAGCTCACCTGTCCCCCTTGCCTGATGGTGTGAAGCCACCATTCTAGTACCGGTCCCGTCACATGCCTGGCGGCAAAACTCAGCCCATTTCTTTTTGCCTTGATAATATCTCATTCCTTGCTTATGTTTTCAGTTAAAAAAAAAAATGTTGCAGAATGCAACCCAGCAAAAGGGGAGGGCACCCCAGGGCAGCGCCCCGAGTTTGGGCCCCCACCATGGGCTGAGCATCCCCAGGGGACCATGAACCAGACTTCCCGAATGGGGGAGGCGGGAGGAGCAGGGTGGATACCTAAACTGAGGCGCATGAAGGAGCCACACCCCAACAGAGACGCCGGTGGGGGGGACACACGGGGGGGGGTTGCTGCCGGGCTGCACAAGGGCGCCCCCGTAATGCTGACCCCTGGTGGCCTGGAGTTTGAGTTCTGGGGTTCCCCCTGTGATCCAGCTTCCTGGGGCGACCTCAGCCCTTTCCTGTGAGACCTGGGACCGGCCACGGACTTGCTCTGGGGCTCAGCCAACCCACCCTGTGCACAGCTCGTTGTCGCTTGTCTAATGGAAATTTCTGGAGCTTGACTGGGAGCCTGTCACTTGACATCTCTCTCTCCTCCACTTCCACCAAGCAAAGATACCGTGGCACACAATGGCTCTGCTTTGTCTTTGTGCACACAGATGGCCAGGCCCTTTTAGAAAGTGCAAAACGGGGTTTCCCCTTCACAGTCTAGGGTCTCTGAGTACCCCAAGGTCCCACGGCTACAAACTATACATTAAAGGCACACTCCTTTTACGCCATATCTGCAGATACAGTGCCCAGAGCCATGGATAGTGACTGACATCTGAGGTTTAGTTTGCTTCAGCTTCTATTTAAAATGTCGGATCATGAGCTCACCTTCCCTAGGGTTCCCTCTGTGGGACTCCTGTGAAATACTGTCTGGGAGTGCACATCTTCAGAGAGGGTTTCTGTTTGCCTCGGTCAGGCATCCTGGGGATGCTGCTAACGGAGTTGCCCGGATTTCCTGGAGACGGCCACTTACTTCCCTGCTGGCTTGGATACTATACAAGATGAGGTTTCAATAAGGCTTACCCTTTAGGCTCTGGTTCTAACTCCACCTTGCCTCCCCTAAGAAGCATTCCAAAAATCTAAGGCCCAGGGAGAGGAGACGGCTACTCCACAGATGGCAAGGAGAGGTAGTTATCTGAGAGTGGTTGTCTGAATCTTGTGCTGAAGATGGCATCTTCTGAGGTGTCACAGGGTCCAGAGTGCTGTGATTGATTAGTAATGCCTGCAGGGGTCTGGGGGGAAGTGGCAGCAGTACAATCTCGTGTGTCTGTCATCTCTGGAGGTCACACATTTCTGTTTGAGAAAGCTTGGCCTTCCCTCTGTCTGAGGAAGAGGATGGTGGGATCTTGAAGGAACAATCCAGCTATTCTCATCAGACAAGTCATGGCTGTCTTAGACAACTGGTGCCTTCCCATCATGCATTGCTGGCCGGGGGCACTGTTGGGGAGTAGAGCTTATCCAACTCTTCTGGCACTTCCACGGAGGGGCAGCTTCCCCGTTTCTCCCTCTTCCTCAGGGAACAACTTGATTATGCATCCATAAGGGGACCCCACCCGTGGGAGGTGCCCTGAGCACTCCAGCTCATTTTGGGCTCCATTGCAGTGTGGGAAACACCCTCAGGAAGCCCAGGTCCTGTCCTTTAGCGATAGCGATAGCTCTGTGTGTCCATGCTACAGCCATGGCTGTACCTGCAGACTGACCGAGCACGGAGGCCCAAAGGTTGGATTTAGGCTGGATGGCAAGAGGGTGAGCTGAGGTCTCCATCCCAGCCTCTACCAGAGTCCTGCCCGAGGGCTGGTGGGGGCCTGCATGCAGGACAGAGGGGCCTTGCTTCCCTTTCCCTCCAACCCTGGTGCATCCTCGAGTTCAAGGGGGAGAGGCGAGAGCGGTCAGATGCCCAGATGCGAACAAATATCAGGAGCCTGGGTATCAAAGTACTCTGGTCTAACAACGTAGCAAGTCATTTCAAATCTATTCATGGGGGACAAACGTAAGTTTCAGAAATGGCCTTTTCTGAACAAAGGATAAAAAGTGAACCTCAAGAAATTCAGGTTGAAACAACATCTATTACAACAGGAACACAAGCACAGGGCACAACCCGAGCGCTGCCCTGAGCAGGGCCCGCGGCGCCTCCAGGCTGGGAGCAGGGCCCCCTCCTCCGGGCCCTCGCCCTGCTCCTGGGAGTGACTCTGGGGCAGGGGTGCGCCTGCCCCTGTGCCAGGGAGGAGTCGGGTCCCCTCCCGCTTTCCCAGGCCGGTGGTGCTGGGAAGCCACCTCAGGCCTGTGAGCTAGGGCGTGGTGGCTCATGCACAGAGGGCGTGGGCCCAGCCAGATGGGGATGTCAGCCTGCGGGGGCAGGACACAGGGGTGCAGGCTGCTGGTCCACCAGAGCCCCCTCGGCGGGCCTGTCACTGCCCCTTGCATTCTGACTTCACGCCCGCCTCGTCTTTCATGCCTCCCTCTCCCGTCTTCTTCTTCCCTCTCCTCCCCAGCCCCCCACCCCCTTTCTCCCTCACCACTCTCCCTTCTCAACCGCTCCCCATCTCTCCAAGGCTCTGCCTTCTGTCTCCCCCTCTCTCTCTCTTACCCTCTTCCAACTGGGCCAGCACCAGAGTCCTTCTCCATCCAGTGAGGCCCCCCACAGATGTCTCTAGGGGTCAAGACACCTTTGAGCTTGGTCCCCTTGGCGTGCGACAGCTAATTCCTTGCAAGTGGGAGATTCTCAGACTGACATCACTGGCCACAGAGAAAGCTCTGGGCCAGTAGAGCCAAGTCTCCGAAGACTCGGCCTAACCTGGACTGTGGGCCTCTGGCCTGCAGGAGCCAGCCTGTCCCATGCCTCACCAGACCTGGAGGCACGCTTGTTTATTGTGCAGCGTTGGGAGGGTGAAAGGGGTGGGGGGCTGTTGGGCGGGGGTCATGGCTAGTCCTGAGAGCTAGGTGGCCAGGCAGCTTCACTTCTTGAAGGGAATCTTCTTCAGGTTGACTGTCTTCCTACTGAACCTCCTGAATTTGTTGAAAGGATGTATTTCCTCTTCAGGTAGTTTCACTCTAGAAGTCCAAATAGGGAGAAGCAAATGCTGGGGGGAGGGGCGAGAACTGATCTTCACAGGGTCCCTGGCCTGGAGCTGTGAGGGGCGTGGCCTGGCTCTCTGGCCATGGCTCCAACCTGAGGTGGGGGCAAGGGAGTCACCCCATCAGCACCCCTTTCAGGGCATTCACAGCTTGGCTTTCTGTCTCCTGAGAACTGTGTGGTTTCACCCCTTGGCAGCACTCAAGTCCACATCACCATGGACACAGGCCAGCTGTGGGTTGACAGTCCTCGTGAGCTTCTCACAGTGAGAAAGGCAGCCGCCACCCTAAACACACGGATGGGTCTGGGCTGTGGGGTTTTGCTGCGAAGATCATGAAATGCATCAACTGCCACAGCCCAGACCACTGTGAGCAGCTCTCAGGAGCAGCCGGGACATCCCTCTGGGCAGTGTTGATAACAGGATTATCGGGGTCCCCCAGGGGTCACGGGCTGCTGGAAGCCATGGAGACACATGTGACCCCTGTGAGCGGGGGTGGAGCCAGGGGTTCTGCCGTGAGCCATACCCCTTCTGCTGACCACGGGGCTGGGGCGTCACCTACTTCTCAGGTTCAGGAGAAGGGTCCCTCTCCACCTTGTCCCACAGAGCTAAGGAGGAGAAGCTTCCTTGGATGTCTCCCGACTTTGACTTCTTGGCCAGGTCAGGGTCTTCCGGGCTAGACGCGGAGGGTGAAATGCTGCAAGGAGGCAGGGAGGGCGCGCTCAGTGCGGCTCCTCACAAGGGGCCCAGAGGCAGGCTGGGTAGGCACACGGCCCCCAGTTTACACTGCCCCTTCAAGGCCGTGTTTCTAGAGAGGAGGGGCAGGACCTCCTCCCCGAGAGGTGGGCGGAGGGAGAACCAGACCCCACTGGAGACCGGAATTGACTTCGCAGGTGGTCGGCATCTCTGGTTTCTGTTCTAGGCTGGATTCGCCCTGACTCTGTTGGGGACGCCAGACCACCCAGTACTGACCGCCCAAAAGGCCTGTGGTGGGTCCATGAGGTGAGCACAGAAGAGCAGGCCCAGGACACAGGTCATCACGCACACTGAATCATTGCATTCGAGTCCTGACCCCCAGTCCAGAATGTGACCTTATTTGGAATTAGGGTCATTGCAGACTTAATGGGTAAAGCAAAGCCGTACGGTAGAAGGCTACAGTAATGAGAACACCATGGCGTCGGAAGCGAAACAGACGCCCAGACTGAAGGAGCAGAGCTGAGCCCCGAAAGAAACCCGCACTTTCACTTTCATGGACAGTTACTCCGCAAAGGGAGAGACCAGAATACAGTGGCGAAGGAAAGTCTCCTCAGACGGGGTATTGGGAAAACAGGCAGGCACATGCCGAGAACTGGAACCAGACCCTCACAAGCACAAGACAGCAGCATTAAATGAGGCGAGGTTTAGTGAAACCAACGACAAGCCACCCTACCAGCCGGGGAGAAACACGCTTCACACCGGCAGGGGCTCGCACGAGTCACACAGAAAACAAATACCCGCCAGCCAATGGGCGGGCGCGCCACGCCAACGATTCTCCAAAGGCGACGCACAGGCGGACAAGAAGCACGGGAGAAAGTATTCGCATCACTTCTCCGCAGGGAACCGCAAATGGAAACCACAAGATCCCCCCACAGCTGTGAGAAAGGCCCGTGTCAAAAAGGCCACAGGCAGCAAGTACCGTGGAGGAAAAGGAGCCTGGATATTGCTGCGGGTCGGCCGACGGCCCCAGGCCCTCTGGAAAACGCTGTGAGGGTCCTTAACATGTGATCTGCTCCCGCAGCTCTCTCCAATAGCCAGGGAGTGTGGGAACAACCTCCGTGCCCCCCAAGGGCCGTCAGGAAGTGGGTACTGTTCCGCCGCGAAAGGAGGTGAAATGCTGCCATTTGTGACCACACGGAGCGTGGTGCTCAGTGAAGTAAGTCGGGGAGAGACAAGTACCAGATAATTTCACTCACGTGGAGCATAAAGTAACAAAACAGGAATAGACGGAATTCAGCAAAACAAATTCTAGAAATCTGGCTGCAGAACTGAGACTGCTGGGGGCGGTGGAGCAGAGGGAGGGGAGGCCCAGGGCGGGTGAAGGGCTGTGGGAAGAATGCCGTGCGGGTGGGCTGCGGCGACCTCCATCCTGAAGCATGAGTGCTCGAAACCAATGTCACGTCAACACAAGGAAAAGCAAGCCACACGGGAATGGGGTGTCCCCCCCCCCAGCACCCTGCGGTTTTCAGCAAGGGGAAGTGGGACATGAGCGTGCACAGGGGGACAAAGCCAGGCGCAGTCGCAGCCGGGGGTCACCGGGAGCAGGGGAAAGGCCCGGCGGGTCCCTCCTCGCCCCTCAGGAGGGCCGTGGCTTCCCACAGGCCTCTGGAGCCACGAGACAAAGCATTTCTGTCTAGACACCGGGTGGTGCAATGCTGAGCCCGGCTCCGCCCGGGGACCCAGGAAGGCCGTGCCCTCCTCACCCCCCCCAGCCGTGCGCGGGCCAGACACCTCCAGCTTCAGGGTGCTCCGAGCACCCCGCAGCCCTGGGACACTGGGGCTCTTGTCCCCATGACTGACAAGGGCGGAGGAGCACACGCCTGCACGGCCGCCAGGACCCCTCAGTCGTGTCTTTTCGCGTCCAGGGAGCCCCCACCTCGCGCATGCTCCAGGGCAGGGCAGCTCAGAGCTGGGCGGGGCTTCTGCCGCGGTGGGGGAGGCCCAGGAGCTTTATGGAGACCAACAGGGCCGAGAATCCGGCCCCTTCACAGCGTCTGCCCTCAGCAAATTCATCCTGCCCGCTAGCGTGGCCCACTGGACGCGCACGTGGCCCATGGCCCTCTGTGTTTGGGGCGCAAAGCCTACCGGAGGCCCTCCGAGAAGCCAAGGCCTCAAGTGGCTCGTGGGGGTGACTGGCCCCAGCCCAGGCTGCTGGTGTCCATCCCTTCTGGCCCCAGAGGTCCGTGGGCTCTCTGGGTGCTTGGGCGATGCTGGGAGAAAGGTCCAGAAAGAAGCAGGTTCCCCTAAACCTCTTCCCTTGGGCTCGCCCGCAGCACTGCGAGCCTCCCACGAGGCTCTGGGAACAAGCACAGGCAGGCGGCCCTGCGCAGCCAGCTTCTGGTCGGAACACGGCCCCTGGGGGCTCCCTGGCCAGCCTCACCCTGTCTCACCGTTGGCCATACTGCTGCCCGAGGCCTTGTCGCTCTTGGTCAGCACGGCGCGTCCTCCGCAGGGCCCCACCCCTGGAGCCACGTCCCGCTCCTTGTCCGTCGAGACCTGGCCCCAAACCGCTCGTGCGCTTTTCCGACAGCCCTTCTCGCAGTACCCCCAAATCTACAAGTAGCCTGTTTCCTGGTCCCCGAAGCAGGCCACGCCAGCCTCACCTAACCCTCCCGGGGCCTGTCGCCCCTCCTTTCCGCAGGCCTTGTACTCACCCCGCAAGCCACCTCCTCGGGGGCCGCCCCCGACTCTCGCGGGAGCGGCCTCCACTGCCACGGCCCACAGTGATGCGCGCACAGCCGCTGGCCGCCGTCTCCCGCGCCTGCTCACCTTCGGAGTCCAGTCTCCTCTCTGTTTCTCTCGTAGAGCTGAGCAGCCCGGGGGTCCTACCCCCGGGGTGATGTGTCTGACCTTCCCCTCCATCCTGCAGGGTGTCACCCTCCTAATCTCAGGGACCTCTCCCAGTCCGACTCGCCCTAGGAGTTGGTCCAACGTGGAGGTCACAGCTTCAGAGCTCCTCGGGGTGTGGCTGTCCCCCAAACCTCGTTAGGGCCAGGGAGACACTGACAGGCCCAAACTCGGCACTCAAGGGGAGGCTAGCGATGGGCATCCAGAAAGCTGGGGGCGGTGGAAGCAGCGGGTGCCGGCCTCAGCGCTGCGGGGCAGGCACACAGCCCCCACCTGTGCAGGTAACGCCTTCACCGTCAGCCCAGCGCGAACGTTGCCGTTCTGCGGTCTGCAAACCCGCCCCTGGCGCCTGGGGACCGCCTGCAGGTGGGGATTATCGCCTTCATCTTAAAGGTGAACAAAGTGAGGACTGGGCAGGCGACTCATCAGGCCCCAGTCAGCCAGCTGGTGGAGAGCAGCGCGAGCCCCGCCCCAGTGAGTTCACGCCACTGCCCAGGTTCTCTGCTTCTATCTCTAAATACAGCCTTCAGCGACTTCTGAGCGCCCAGGCTCTTCCCGGACGGGGCTGTGGGCGTCGCGAGGAGCCAGGCCTGAGCCAGCCCTTGGCGCTGCGCTCGGCTGTGCTGCGGTCTGCCTTCCCACCCCTTTCCTGCGCAAGCCCTTGACCGCCTGGAGAGCCGCCATGTCCACGCGGCCCTGCTGGCCAAGTCGCTTCAGCAGCCGGGGGCACGCACAGTATGGGGGTGGCACAGAGGCAGGGCTGCGACTGGGCCCCCACCCACACCCATCCTAAGTCTCTTGCCACGGAAACCAGCCCTGTTCAAGCCACCCCGTTTTCCCCTTTCTCCAAGCTTATGTCCCCACCACCGCCCACCCCACCCCCATTCTCCCCTGAGCCTGCAATGCCTTGAGTCAGATTCCAGCAGGTAGGCTGACTGGCCTGCAGGTCGAGCCCAGCTCCCCAACGCTGGCCCCTCTTCACCTACCTCCCTTCCCCTCACCCCCAGTCTCCCCTTTACCTAAATTTGTAGTCCTCAGGCAGGAAGTGGCCGGCTTTGCAATCCTGCCGTGCTCTGAAGATCTGTTTCAGCAGATTCTGCCGGCTGTAGCCGTAACCATTCAAGACACAGCCCCCAAAGAGGAGCTTCCCCCCAGCGAACATCTGTGGACAGACAGGGGACCTGAAGCCAAGGCCCTCAGCGCACTGGCACCACGATTCAGGACCGGAGGGCTGCAGCCCTCAGAACTTGAGCCAAAACCCAGGCCTTTCACTGGTGACTCCAGGAAGGGGTACTGCCTCCCTGAGTCGGCAGTGAGGCCCCCCCACAAGTCAGAGGGCATCCCCACCCTCTCACCCTTTGCCCCCTGCCAATGGGACCAGCTCGCCAAGTCCTCCCAGACCCCCAAAGAGTCTCTTCCTGCTCAGAGGGCCCCACAAAGCCCATCTACAGCCCCCACCACCGGCCGCCCTGATGATCGTGCCAGGGGCCGGGGGGCCCACGGCAACCCCCCAGGCCGGTGCTCACCAGGATCATGCCCTGCAGCACGGCGTGCTTCCTCACCAGCAGGGGCGGGTCCTTCTGCAGGGGGCTGTCCAGGTCGTAGCGCAGCAGGCGGTAGGGGTCACGCTGGCACTGCCGCAGAGAAAGCGCGTGTCCCCTCCCCTGCCTGGCACACTTGACCCCACAGCTTCCCAGATGCTCAGCCAGGCCTCCCTCTGAGGTATCCCCCAACCGGCCTCCCCACTCCCAGCCCCGGGGTCCCCCCCGGCCGGGCCGGGACCCACCTGGATGCAGGGCGAGCCGCGGCCCTGCTGCCTGTGGCTGTACAGGGTGTCCAGCAGCCACTGCAGTTGCGCTGTCACGGTGGGGCTCTGGCTGGAGATGATGCCGAACACCAGGATCTGGTTGGGGTCTCGGGGCGCGGCCAGGAAGCGCTCCAACTCCACGTCGGAGACCTGGGGCGGCCTCACTAGGCACCTGCAGCCTGCCCTGGTGTCTTCCTTGCGGATGAGCTTCCGCAGCACCAGCGGGCAGTCAGAGGGTGGCGCTGCCCACCTGGTGGGGCTGCGGGGCGCTTCTCGGGCCTTCCTGCTGGGGGTTGGAGGGAACAAGTGGGTGGGGTGCTCAGGGACCCTGCTCCTCCTCCCCAGGCCTCTCCAGACAGACCAGGGGTCAGGTCTGCACACAGCTGTGTCTGTGCCGCTGCCAGCTTGCAGCGCCAGCCCCTCGCATGGGCTTCTGACGCTGGGCCTCCGTTTCCTCAAGGGCAAAATGGGAATAAGTGATTCATTCACGGGTGCCCTTAGCCAACAAACTCTGGAGGCACTTTAAGTCCTTTCTTTTGTCCTCTAGACCACATCCAGCCTCGGAGCTAGACTATCAGCTTCACATTCCAGAAAGCCCAGCATCCGACCACTTTTCCTGCCTCTCATGCCATCCTAGTAGCTGGGAGTTCCACGTGTTCTGAGTTTGGAGCATTTTGCTCAGTGGAGTGAACTGTCTCCCACAGCAGAGTAAAGATGCAATAGAGACTCACTGAGCATGCCGACCGGCAGCACACGCCACAAGGGTGTCCGCAGCCAGCAGCACAGAGCGGCTCAGTTAACTTTGTGGCAACCTGGTAATCTGCTGGCCAGAAACTGTCATCACTGCTACAGGTCAGAGAGCAGAAAGTTCTCAGCAGTCTGTGGTGGCTGCTCAAGTTCACAGGGTCCCGAAGAGGCCAGGCCACCCTGAGGCAAGAGCCGTGCAAGCGGGTTACCACTCTGAACTTCCCCCGGCTGTGTGACACTCGCTAAGCAACTCAGTGTCTCTTAGCCTAGAGCCTGAAAGTCTGGGGCAGGTGGAAGGGGACGTGTTAGACCCCCATACTGCGTGGGTCTATTAATCGCAACTTTCTGAGGACCGATCCAATCAGGGACCTGAATATGGGGACACTAAGCCATAATGTTTGAGTAGAAAATATGGGAGAACCTTCCTGTTATAACGTTGGATCAGAAAAGAACTTTTGTGATTATGACTCATGTCGCTTCTCGGCCTCCTGGCTAAGATCAAGTATAGTGATTATGACTCAGAAGTTGAAAAATCAGTATAGAAAAAGACTTCTAATTCAACCACACGCACACACACACAAACCCACCACCAAAACCTGAGGGGACGCTCTCATGGCAGAGAGGAAAGACCAGTGACCCGCAGAGAGACGGAGCTGCGGCTCCTCACAGGCAGGTGACCGAGCTCCCCACTAAAGAATGAACTGAAGGAAGAAATGAATTTTAAAAGTTAGTAACAAGAAATGTTATGGGTCATTGACACAATTCACAGCAAAAGACACAACTCACAGAAAATGATACAGAAATTATTTTTATTCTAGAGAGGTTGGAGGAGAGGTCCCCGAGAGCGGCCAAGCAGGGAATTCCCACACGTCCCCCCAAAACACAGCAGCACGGCTGGCGAAACACCAGGAGAAGTGAGCCAGAATCGAGCTACATGTGTGTTGGGAATACGAGGCTGGCTAAACATTTCAAGTTCAACCACATAATTGCCAGTAACGGTAGAATGAAGGAGAAATCACAGGTTCATCTCAAATAGCAGAACCTATCTGATAAAATTCAGTGTCCATTCATGATTTTTTGAAAAGCCCCTACCAGGCTAGAAATAATAGGGTACTTTAATAAAGAGGGGGCCCCTTCGTAACGGGCCTCGACAAAAATACTCTACAGTTGGATAGTGAGACACCGAAAGAGTTTACTCTGAGAGTGTATGGAATTAAATGCTTTTGTGCCAGATGATAAGGCCTCAAGCCAGTAACTGAAGCTTACAACTTAAGACACTAGAGAAAGAACAAAAGAAGCAGAAGGAAGATAAAAATACAGAGTGGCAGTAAGAGGCAGCGAAGATGGAAAGTCAAGAGGCCAAGAAGATAAGCGAGAAAGATCTGGCAGAACTGTAACCAGACTGACAAGACGGAAGGGACACAGGTGCCGTGGCGGCCCTGTCACGGCAGCCACGCGGGCACCAGAAAAGGCGGGGCACTGGCCACCGCCGGACAGGACCAAGAACTTGGGACAAACAGGTCAATTGCTTTAAAGGCACAAACTAACACAATTCCTCGAGAAAAACAAATGACCTAAATAGCCCTAGATTTCGTAAACCGTTCAGTCTTCCAACACAGGGAGGTCGACAAGCGGACGAGAGAACCCAAGGAGCCACTTGGCACAGGGCTCTCTCCAAGATGGGGAGACGGCGGAGGGCGCTCAGGCCCTGCAGCCATGGGGGCGGCAGGACCCGAGGTGGCTGGCAGGGGGCGCGGCGGCGTGGTGTGGGGCGCGGCAAGGCCGCAGTGCAGCACTGTGGCACTGGCGACCACCATTTCAGAAGACGTGCCATGCAATATTCCCTTGCCTTTTTCTTAACACATTAAAAATACAGAAGTCTGGGCTCTCCCTGCTGGCGCAATGGGTTAAAGCACGGCATTATGAAGCTCGCGGAAACCACTGCAACTTAAGTTCGATCCCCGGCCAGGGAGCTGACCCACATGGCGCGGCAGACCTCTCCTGACCGGCCGCAGCTCCCCTCAGCAGTGGACTTTGTCAATCTGTTTGCTCTGCTCCCATTCTGTCTCTGGTGAATCCTTTTACCCACCACACCTCTGGCCTGTACCCCAGTTCTGTAAGCATAAATAAATACTTTAAAAAAAAATGTAGAAGCCACTGGGCTCGCCCAGGGAAAAGGCCTGCAAGTAGGACCAGAGGGGACCCACCCCCCAGTTCTCCAACCTCACCAACCCGTCCCACGAGTAGTTCTCTCCAAGCCCTACCACCCCACTATGGCCCGAGTTGCCCCGTGCCCACTTCTGCGGTGCCCCTGCCGCCCCAGGGTTTCCACTGCCAGGGAGGCCTCTCTGTTGGAACCCCGTGACCCCCGCTGCGGGCCTGCTCCCGGGCAGCGTCTGACACACTGGAATGGGAAGACACAAGAAGAAGCCGACCTGAGGGCGGCTCTGGACCGGATCTTGGCTGGCTTCTTCCGAGCAGGGCTCACAGGAGCAGACCGCGGTTCTTCCTTGGAAGACTCTGTAATCGAGGAGGCAGGTCGGAACGACTGAGATCGTAATAAAATTTCTGAGTATAAATTTGGCCTGGTGCCCCGGTCCGGATAGGGCCCGGGTTTTATCCTGGCTTGACCGATTTCTGCCTCTTCCTTTACGGGATATTGTATGGTGAACAGGCCTGTGAATGGGAGACAGTGCTGTCAGCTTTGCCACAGCCTGGCCCGCAGCCTCACTGGGTGGCCTGCAGGAGGCCCCTCTCAGCTGGCCAGCCACACCGCCTTCACCCTCCTGCGTATGCTCCCCTGGGCAACCTTGCCCAGCCCCATTTGCTCCGTGCTCCGAGTCTCGCGCAGCTCGTGGGTCCGTAAACGCTGGATAATGTCGGAACAAATCAACTTTGTTTCTGTTCACTCTTCAAGACCAGCTTCGGTCCCTCTCCCCCAAGCACTGGGTTTGGTGCAGCTCTGCGTCCTGCAGCGCACTGACAGTGGGGGAGGCGCAGCCACTCTGCGCCCTTCCCTGACAATGCTGTTCCCTGTCTCCAGGTTTAAGTCGTTGCCATCTACTTCCTTTGCTGTATTATGCGCCTTTGTATTCTTATTTTTGCTTTCCCTGTGAGACTGGAAAATGTCTGAGGCCAGAGACTTTTTCCTGTATTCACACACCAAGCATGTACTGCGTAGTGGGCCCAGGCATACAGAGGGGCCCAAACAGGGCTCCCTGCCTCTGGGGATGCCTCGCAGTGACAAGGTACAGACAGGGAAAATGCGCAAAGACGTGTTCACAGTGCTGGGGGCGGGGGGGACTTAAAACTGGAGCATGTCTAACGGGCTACAGCAGCCGGGGGGGCAGTGTGGCCCCTCTGCTGGGGAAGCCAGGGAAGGCTTCCTGGAGGAGGGTGGCTGAACTGAATGTTTAGGAGCAGGAAAAACTCCGGTGAGGCCTCGGTGGGAGCGCAGCCCCTCTGTGCTCAGTCGGGGTGGCATGCAGCAGGCCATCAGGATTAAGGGGAGCCCAAATGTAGAAGGGGGTCCTTAGACCACCCAAACGGGCCTAGGGTAAGTGTGGGCCTGCCGGGAACGGGCTGGCGAGGCGGCTGCTTTCCTGGTTTGGCAAGATCCTCCACAACCAGGTGAGGGGAGCAGGGGCTGCAAAAGGCCGGTGGGTGATGGGGGATGGAGCCGGAAGGTGAACGAGGTGCAGGGGCGGGGCAGGAGACACCTACAACCATGAGAGGCCTGGGGAAGTACAGGTGGCGAAGACTGCAGTTGGCGGAGGCCCCCTGAGCCCTGAGGCCCCAGCGAGCTCCTCCAGCAGCCTGAGCCTGGACCCCGGCTAGCCGCGGGGGCAGCACCTTCCCGGGGGGAGCGGGAGGAAGGCCCCCAACGGCAGTGTGCAGTCTGCACGCCAGATGGGCCGTCACCCACCTCTGCCCCTTACCTGCCGCCAGCAAGATGGAATTCATGAACTGGGACACCGTCTTCTGAAACCGCTTCTTGATGTCCGCCAGGGCTCGGCTCATCTTGGACGCCTTGTCGTCCAAGTTGCTGGTTCTCTGGGTCGGCTGGGGAGAGGCCGAGGGGAGGGCTTTGTCACCTGCCCGAGAGCCTGCCCGCCTGGGCACAGCGGAGGCCTGGCTCTAGTCTGGAGGGGTGCCCGGCCCCCACCTGGCAGCCCCCCAGTCCAGGTGTTCTTGCCGGCTTGGCCCAACCTGATGCAAATGCCCCCTCCTTGGAGGGTTTTCCCTGAGTCTACTAGAGAACTGTGCCTGGCCCCGACCCCACAATCCTCTGCAGCCTGAAGACAGGCGCTGTTGGCCTTTTATGAAGCAATTGTGCCTGAGCAGGAGAGGGCAGGAGCTGGGTCTCTGCTGTGTCTGTCTGTCCTGCGGGAGGTGCACAGGGGATGCTCACTGCATCACGGGTAACTGGGCGGCCAGTGGCCCTCCGTGCCTGCCGTCCAGGGCCTCCTCCATCCAGCTGCCGGAGCCCAGTCCAGCTGCTGCGGCCCTCAGCTGAGAAACTGCCTGGTTAGGGTCCCTGCGGGGCACAAAGGCCCAGGCCCCCTGCTGGGGTTATCCTGGACTGCCAGCCGGAGCCTCTGCTGGGGCTGTCCTGGAGTCCAGCCTCTCCTGCTGGGGCTCCCACTGTGGAGTTCATGGCAGGCAGGGTCTGACTTTCCTCACCGCGGCCAGTTTCCTCTCCCAGCAATGGTCCTCTGTGCTAAAGGTGCACACAGGCTCATTTCCGTCCATGGTGCCCTGGGTCCCGGCAATTGTGGAACTTTTCTTCCCTTAGCTTGGTGAGCTGCTTGTAGGCAGGAACTATGCTCCGACATCTGCCCCGAACACAGAGGGGGCCATGCCTTCTGTGGACATGATGCCTCTGGGGGAGCCCCGGGGGGCTGGGGGAGGGGAGCGCCTTCAGATTTTCTGAACTAGACTCAGCCTCCGCAGCCTCTGTACCCTGCAGCAGGATCTGGGGAGGAAGCCCCACTTAACAGCAAGCCTCCACGTCCCTCTGACTGCTGGCCCCAGTCGCTGGGCTAACTTTAGTGATTTGTGTTGACCCAGCCTTCTTCCAGAAAGGATGGAGGCAGCACTCCGATGACTAAAGTGTCTAAGCTGAGGCACAGCCTCACGGCTAGAACACAACCTGGGTGGACGAGGGAGTGGGGGAGGGTCACACTGCCCAGCCCGGTCTCTCCCATTCCTGGAAACTGCGTTACTGTTTCCATTTAAGACAACACTACTGCCTCATCCTTTGGCCAGGAGCTGGACTCGACCCCACCCCCAGCTGCCAGGGTGGACATGATGCCCAAGCCTGTCCAGTGGGAGCAACGCACAGTCCAAGCCACAGGGAGCGTTTCAGGCATAGGCACTTCGGACAGCCAGTGACGCTGGCGTCACTTCTACTGGAGTGCGCCCTCTTTCTCTTGGGGAGACCAGCCCTGGTCTCCTGAAGATACGCATGACTGGTTTTCACTCTAAAGAGAGACGTGCACCCCCACCCCCACCCCCACCCCAGGAGAATAAAGCGAAAAAAGAGGAAAGCAGAGCCAAGAGGCGAGATCTGTTGGATGCAGTCGAGAGCCTGGATCCAACCATGCCTGAAGCTGCATGTCGATAAATTTTTCAGTTTCCTGAGCCAACAGCCTCTTTTGAAGCATAGGCTGGTTTTACTCCACTCTGTTTGAAAAGACAACTTAACAAAGGTAATACTAAGGGCAGGTAGCAAATGACCACTAAAGTCCACGAGGCAGAGGAGGAGCTGGGCCTCTCTGGACAGAGCTAGGACAGAAGGAACAAAGGTGCTGAGGCACAGAGAGGCGACCCCGCTGAGACGCCAGGCGGCTGGGGCCTCGCCTGCTTTGCCTTACCCGTTTATCTTGAGTTATCCCATGGGGACAGTTGGTGGCGGACACAGTGAGTTTTACTGTCTCCTGCAGGGAGGTGAAGGTCACCACCATGGAGTCCTGCCCCAGCATGGTCAGCTTCATTTGCTCATTTACCTGCGGGAGAAAGCAGCAGCAGGCTGTGGCCTGACCGGTGCCCGCCCCCCCGACCTGATGCACCACAAGGACAAACGCTTCTTGACTTGGAGCTGAGGAAACACAAGCTCTTTCTGGCTCTAATGTTGCAATTTAGCTTTCCCGGAGAAGACAAAAGAGCTGCAATCTCTCTCTCCGGTTAGCAAAAAACAGAGTGATGGGGCCCTCCCTGGGGGCGCAGCGGGTTAAAGCGCAGCACTAAGAAGCTAAAGCCGCTTCCGCATCAGTTCAATCCCCGCCTGCCCCGGAGGTGACCACATGGGTGGCAGACTTCTGACCCACCCACTGCTCCCCTCAGCACTGTACTTGGTTGATCTGCCTGTTCTGCTCCCCACTCTGTCTCTGGTGAATCCTCTCACCCTCCGCATCTCTGGCCCACACCCCAGTTCTGTGTGAATAAATAAATAAATCTTAAAAACAAAAAACAGAGTGATGCCTCTTGCCCTGCTCCTTTCCTTCCCATCCCCCGCTAGGGACCAACCAGAGCGAGCCCCTGGGGACTGGCGGCAAGTCGGCCTGGTCTCGGCAGAGCTGGGTGGGGGTGTAGCCCAGGTCGGAATCCGGCCGAATTCAGGGCTGAATCAGGCCGGTGTGTCTGCCCCGCACCAGGCCTGACTTCAAGCCTGGCTCCACGCGGTGCAGAGCTGCCTTGGGAAGAGGAGCTGCCTTCCTGCACCCCCTCCTGCGGCGGGTGGGCAGATGCAAAAGGGAGCACAGCGTGGGGTGGACCATAGTGCCCAGCGCCCACTCCCCAGGCACCAAGACATGTCCCTGCCCTGAAGGAGGAGCTACCCTTCCCCCACTTCGGAAGGTGGGAGTCCCAGAGGACACAGCGGGAGGGTGGGCTGCCTTTAGGGCCACTCACACCCTCCTTGGGTGAGCCCGGGCCCACCCGCTCCCTGCTAGCAAGCCTCTGACCCTCTCTGAAGCTCGGCTGAAGCAGGTGAAAGCTATCAGGGCAGGGGTGGGACAGAGCAGGAAGTGTCGTCACAGGCCATGAAAGCCGATCCAGAGGGAGCAGGGCCCCCACATGCTCATGTTGGGGGTTACTTATCGGGCCGACCCAAGGGCCTGGAGTCGGGGCTCTGCCTGCTGCCGGGCCATGCCTCCTCTGGTCATCCGGGTCTCTGGCCAGCTCCACCTCAGGCTCCTCGGACCAGGACCACGCCGGGGGGCAGCCGCCCTCTCCTCGCACCCGTCCACTCTGTGGCTGAGGTCCACGCTGGATAATACCCTCCTGGGCGAGCCCTTTCCTCGCGCTCTGGTCTCAGCTCGTCCCCCGCTAGGCAGGCGCATCTGGTCCAGGAGTGTCTTCTTGGCAAGTCTTCTGCTATCTTCAAATTTTGTAGACCCTTCTCCCTTGAAAGAGACCCTGCCCCTGCCCCCTCCTGTTTTCCCTCTAGAAAACAGAGCGTGGAGCACGTGGACAGAGTTCACCGGTCAGTGTAGCCGCCCCCCGTCATTCCCCGTAGTTCTCACAAAAGCAGCGTGGGCAGGAGGGCCTGTGCTCAGACGCCACAACCACGCCTCAGAGAAGCTGAGGCTTTCGCCACGCTGCGCAGCCAGGTTCTGGCGAAGGGGCCCCAGCATGTGGCTCCTCAGCCGCTCCCCGCAGCTCTCTGTCCACCGGGTCTCGTGGTGCGTGGCATGGGCCGCCTGCAGCCACAGGGAGGCCGTGGCCCAGCCAGGGAGCTTAAGACGAAAGCCCAATACCCGCCGAAGCAGAGAACACGGACTTGGCCCCACTTCATACTCGCGAAAACCACAGCAGAGCCAGGGATCGGGGTTTCCTGGCTCTGGAAGCTCCACGGGTGGGGCTGAGCGCAGGGCGCGAGAGCCCCTCCCTGAAGGAGCGTGTGGCCAGTGCCCGGTCTGGGCTGTGGGAGCTCTGAGGCCAGAGGGGGTGGGGGCGGGGGTGCCGCAGAGGAGGGGGCTCTGCGCCAGCGTTCGAGGAGGGGACGCCGCACGGACAGCGGTTGGAGGAGGCGCGCGTCAGGCCGGGAAAGCTGTGCCCTAGAGGCCTAACAGGAAAGGCTCTGTGCGGGGTGAGGTGGGAGCTGAGGCCCGTGTGTGTGCCAAGAGGCTTCCCCACTCTTACTGGGGGGCTCCTCACTTCACCCACTTGACGACACAGCTGTGCTGTCGCTGAACCCCGACAGGTAGCTCTGCTCTGACCCCGTTTCCCTGACCTCTCACGTGCCTCTCTCCAGAGGTCATTCCTCTTCCTGTCCCCAGGTCAGTGACCTCAGCGGGGGCAGCTTCGCCTCCAGGGACATTTGGCGATGTCAGGCGACCTCTCAGTCACACCACTGGGGAGGGCCCGGGGTGCCGCCAGGGGTCCTCCCACGCAAGAGGGCAGTAGCGCGAGGTCGAGCGATCTGGCTTTAGCTGAGGTGACCAGCACGCTGCATCGCTTTATTAACAAATTAATCAGGTCACTGTTTAAGGCGAGTGCGTCAACATGACTGTTTAAAGTTTGTTGGCGAGTGGCTGACTGAGCCAGCAGAGCGAGCGTGGGTCTGCGTCTCGGGAGACACCTCTGACTCCCACGCAGGCTTTGACCTTACCCGCTGCGGAGCATAAATACTAAACCGAGGGGGCGAGTATAGACTTGCTGACCGTCCCCCTGGCAGGAGTAGGCGTAACGTAAGACTGTCAGCCAGAACACCGGCTGCGTCCCGAGACAGAGGGTGTCTCCTACCACCAGCAGCGAGCACAGGGAGACGGCGGGCCGGGAGAGGGCGGCGCGGCGGCCAGCTGGTGCGGTCGGCGGGTGACGAGTCTGCGCAGCCGGCCCTGGGCGACTGGCCGCCGCCCTGGGAGCTTCCGACGGACGCCAGCTCCGGAGGGCAGTGCCTGTCCTTCGGGGAGTCCTGTGGCCTGCGTGGGCCAGCCTGGGAGGCTGCCCGTGCCTGCGGCCTTACCTTGTATTCCAGGGAGAGCAGGGTCTCCGTCTTGGAAGCCCAGCTCCACTTGTGCACTACGTAGCCCTTGTGGTCGCTGGTGGTCCCGCCTTCCTCGTCCAGTATCAAGACGTAAGGGCAGCTACGAGAGACGCAGCGTGAGCGGCCACAAGCCCCGCGGCAGGCAGTGGCTGCAGGCTGCAGGGCGCTGCTCCAGCCGGAGCAGTGGCGGGTGCCCGCAGGTCCCCTGCTTCTCCGCATACTGGGGCCTGAGGGCCTTCACCAGCTCTGCTGCTGGGGGCAGTCTGCCGGGAAAGGCAGGCCAGGGGCGGGGGACAAAGCTCAGAGAGACCCAAGAGGGGAGAAACGAGCGTGTGCCCTGTTGCCCCGGGGCCCGAGGCACAGGGGGCCGGAACTCTCAGGGCACGAGTCACCCCCACTGCGAGCGGCTCCCCGCAGAGTCCGGGCAAAGGCAAGGCTTGGCTGACAGGAAGGGAAGACCCCTCGGAAGCGGCGGCCACGGCCGCCCCGTCCTGGTGCAATGCATTCACGAACAGCCTCCCTGCGTCTGGCCAGCAGTCAGGGTGTGGTGCTCAGGGTGCAAGTGGCACAGGACGTGGGGTCTGGCCCTCCCTGCCGGCTGCGAGTGGACCCACTCAGCCGGGCCGGGCCTCAGGAACCTACTTCCCTGCAAGCCTTCTCCTGGCTGCTCGACTTCCCTGGCCTCTGCCTTCCCTTCTTCAGGGACTCCGAGTTGCCACCCGCCAGCACCCTTCTGCCGGGGCTGAGACGCTGCTGCGGGGCCTGGCCCCGACCCACTCACCGAGCCTTGAGGTTGTAGTGGACGCAGCCCTGGCCTTCTGCGTTCAGCAGGGCCAGGAAGGAGAACGTGGGCATGTCGTTGAAGAGGAAGGTGACAGCTCTCCCTCGGCAGCACGTCGGGATCTGGCACACAGCGATGTTCCCGGACGGGTAACTGGCAGGAATGGTCAAGCAGAGCTAACACAACACTCCCCAGGCCTTGTCCCCAGATGCCCGTGGAAACAGTCCGCAGACCAGGGAGCATCACCCCGCCTTCAAGACCCCCGCATTTTGCTAAGTCCCTGCGTGACTGCGGACCGTGGGCCGGGGCAGCTGGATCTGGTTTCCTTCCTCGCGCCCGCGGGGGCAGGTAGTGTTGTCTCCGAACCTATGACGAGGCTTCCCCTGAAGCCAAGGGGTTTCCTAGGAGGCAGGGCTTCCGGAGCGAAACCAGAAGTCTCAGGCTAACCGGGACAGACGGTTCACCCTCCCCGAGGACCCCGGGGCGCAGAGCACTGACCCCCCTCGCGTCACACCGCAAGGAAGCGGAAGCAGCAGAGCCAGGACCCCAGCCTCTGAGGTCAGTGGTGTTTTGTTCTTTCCTTCTTTTTTCTTAAAGATTTATTTATTTATGCATACAGAACTGGGGTACAGGCCAGAGGAGCAGGGGCGGTGAGAGGAGTCACCAGGGACAGAGTGGGGAGCAGAGCAGGCAGATAGAAGCACACTGCTGAGGGGAGCAGAGGGCGGGTCAGGAGAGGTCTGCCGCGCCCTGGGGGTCCCCTCCCTGCCCGGGGATCCAACTCGCACGGAGGTGGCTGCACCAGCTTGCTTTGCTGCGCTCTAACCCGTTCTGTGGCCAGGGAGGCCTCGGTGGTATTTCTACTACTGGCAGTGCCTCCGACCTCACTGAGAGCCCAACAAATCCCGAGAGGAGCAGCGCGGGACAGAGGGCCGGGAACAGGGAGGCGTCTACCGTGTGTATCTTCACGCAGAAAAGCCTTTGAGGGAAGTCTGGCGGAGACTCAGCGGCTGAGGAGAAAGCGGCAGGGGACGCCAACAACTGGTGAAGTGAACGCCTGGGCCCTGCGGGGCGAGCGCCAGCCCATCAGGTCTCAGACGGCTCCTCACCCAGGGGCAGAAATGGCGCCTTGCCGAGCGCCGCCCAGCAATCTCCAGGAAGTCAGCTGCTGGGCTGGGGCTCCATTGGGAACCTGAAGAGAAGGGGGTGTCTTCCGAACATTCTCTCTACTCAAGAGGGGGCATGTGAACAGGAAATCTCTTTCTAGACCACCAGCAACGAAGTCCTCATCGTATGACAGAAAAAAGTGAGGCCCAGAGAGAAGTGGCTGGTGCGGGATCGCCACGCACTCGGCCCAGAACCCAGGCCTCTTGGGAGCCGCAAAGAGAAGGCTCATTCACGGCCAGGATGTGACCTAGGTTTGGGGTGCGCTCCCCCACACTGGTCCCTCTGACTCAGCTTATTCGCAGACACGGCCTCTCAGGGAGCCCAGGAGATGACCCATTCGAAGCGGTGAAGCGTCGGGCAACGGGGCAGGGAGCCCCAGGACGCTTGGCAAGCAGCAGCTGCCCTGGAAGGCGCTAGAGCGTTCGTCACCGCGGGCCCTTTGGAGCTGAGCACAGCGTGATGAATGGATTCATTTACGGTCAGAGACCATAGGGCGCCTTGACAGGGCGCTTAAATCCTGAATTCTCCGCTGGGTGGAGAGGAGGGCTAAGGAAGCCAGGAGGGCTGTTGTGGCTGAGTGGCCCCCGGAGAGAGCTCAGAGAGCCACCCTCTCCTCCACCCTCAGGGGACCCTGTGCCCAGTGGTCTCATGAGTCAAACGAGGCCCCCCTCAACCACCCCTTTCCTGCTGTCAGCTGGAAGCAATGAAAGACACAAAGAAGGACGCTGGAGAGAGGCCCCTGGTGAAGGCGAGGAGGCAGCCCTGGCCCCACCCAGCAGACCCTCTGGGGACCTCGGGTCACCCTACTCCCACAGGAGGGGCTGTGCCAGAACACCTAGTCTCTCCTCTTCGGCATCTCACCCACTGCAGGCGACAGAACTTGCCCCCAGGCTCTGCCCTCTCTGGCCTCAGGCCCGGAGCCAGGCTGCCAGACAGGGTGCACATCTGGGCCCTGGCACAGCCTGTTGAGAGCAGCCTGGGGCGGGGGGTGACAGGACCCTGCGAGGAATACAGGGGTCCCGGCGACTTCCTGCTCCACTGCTTCCCACCCTGGGATTGCCCAGAGGGTGCTGGATCGCTGCCCACATTCAAACTCCTTTCTCTTGTTTAGAAGAAACAATCCAGCTACAGCTGCCCCTCTAAGGCGTGGTGGCGCCTCCATCCGCTCCAGTAACGCTCCACGGGAGCCTCAGTAAACATCTACGACCAAGAAAATACTCCCACTCCCTTCACCCCAAGGTGCGCGGAGTCCTCCAAGGAGGATCTGCCTGGAGGGGTCCAGAATCAGACACCCAGGCCCCAGAGAGGCCGCGGACCCGGCGAGCCCCTGCGACCACAGCGGACACCGCAGCAGCACGCGTGAGTGTGCCTGTCTGGGAGAGGGTCTCTGGCTTTCTCCAGATCCGCAAGGAGAAAATATGACCCTTTGGGTCAGTCCCACACCCCAGGGGGGCCCATACTCATGAACACAGGCAAGCGGGGTGTGTGCTGGTGGGGGGCTCTCAGGTTCAGATGCCAACTACATGGACCTTTGGGACAAAGCAGGTAAGAACCGCAGGTTTAGCCACTGAGCCAGGAACAGAAAGACGAAAATCCCACCCCCGAGGATAGAGGGCATCCTGCCCCCTCCTTTCCGTCTTGCACCTCGGCGGGCCCAGCCTGCGCGCACGAGCCGCCCAGCCCGCCGGGCACGGACACTCTCACAGCGCTGTCCTGAGCTAGAGGCCGGGCCTCGGCGTTTCTTGCTCTGACCTTCCGGTCTCGCCTGGCAAACTCTTAATACCCTGAGGCCCAGTCACCAGGTTGCTCTGATCCATCAAAGTGGACACGCAGACTTGTGCCAACCCGGGAGGGCTGTCGGCTGAGCCGCAGGGAGACGGGGCAGCACCAGGCCAAAGGATACTAGACGAAGGAGGAGCCGTCATAGAAGCTGTAGTGCAGCTTGGTGGACTTCTTGGGCATCTTCAGCTCCTGAGAATACCGACCGAAGTGAGCGTGGTGGGCGGAGGCGACGGGGTACTGGAGGGCAGGAGCAGCAGCCTGAGCTCCTGAAGAGTGGTAGTGATGGGGGCTGGGGGCCTGCGCGTCCCCTTTGGGGGCTGACCCTGGATGAAAGGGCATTTTTGCCCTGTAGTTGCGAATGAATGTGGGGTAGAAGACATTCCTTCCTCGCCAGGAGACCCTCTCAGCTTCTCTGCAGGGAAGGAGACCAACAGATCACCCTGACACGCCCTCACCAAGCTCTGCGGCTCCCTCCCGCGCCGTCCGATTCCCTTACCCCACCCCATTTCTCTACCCCTAAAAAGCAGCCCTGGTTTTGGTCTTTAGAGCTGGGCCTAAAGCAGCCCAGCAGGGGCCGAGAGGGCCAGCTCAGCACCTGCACTGGCCTTCAGGCGTCAGGGTCCCGCGACCCGGTGAGGCCCCGGCCCCCCGACCTGTACTCAAAGGCCCGAGAGCCTCAGGAGACATCAACGCTTAGGCGTGACCGGGTCTTAGACCCTGTGGCCCATGGCCCAGGCCTCAGGAAAATGCAGACCGTGTTACTAGGGCTTGTGGGTCCTCGAAAGTCTAAAAAACACGAACTAGCCAGGTGGATGATTTTGCTTTGAGCGGTGCTCCACTTCTCGTGGGAGAATGTCTGACAATTAAGAAACCAGCGCTCGGGGCACAAAGGCTGCAAGCTGTGGGCAGCCTCACGAAGGGGCCTCCTTCCTCCAGTGTGGGGAGGCAGAGCGCACCGGCCCGGGCCAGGCGCCAGGCAGAGGCACCTCATTTATGCCTTACCCACCTGCTGGGGCTGCCTCAGTTTCCTCATCTGCAACACGGGCATATATCCCGTCTTCCCCATAAGGCCAAGTGAGGACTGAAAAGGATTGTGAGCGGGCAAGGACTAGGAGCCAGGGTGCCTGCGAGGGGCACCCGTCGCCCGCCGCGAGCCCTGGTGGCCCCGAGGCGTCCTCACCTCCGGCGGGACTCGTCCCTGCCTGGGGTTGCCCCACGCACATGGTGACGGCCGAGCCTTCCCTTCCCGCCCTCCGAGGTGCTCACATGTGGCGACACATCTCCTGCAGCTTCTCCCGGGCCTCGGGGCAGGGGTCGTTGATCTCCATGATGTCAGAGGCCGAGGCTGCTCCCCGCTGCAGCGGTGACGTGGCCGAGTCTTCAAAATACTTTGATTTGCCTGTAGGTGGAGGTGAAGAGGGAGAGGAGGGTTTTAGAAAATGGTTTCTTAACCAGATGAGGGCAGGGGGAGCTGGGCAGCAACACCCCTGATTAACTGGGAGCATCGTTTCTGCTTCCTGGGGGGACAGAAATTCCTGGCAGGCTACTTATACAAAACAGAGATGTCACTCTGGGGGCCTCGCAGTGTGTGTTGGGCGGTGAGTTGGGCAGTGGTGAAGGCGGCTGCGTCTCCCACGGGTGGCCTGGTTCTCTGGGCAAAAAGGCCCTACAATATACTGTCCAGGCTGGGAGCTTTTTGGATTTGAAAGTGGACACATCTGATCACTGCCAAGACGTCAGCATGAGCCAGGACACCCTGAGCAAGATGGGGCACCCGGCAACTCGTAACCTGTCGGGACGATGAGCCCCTCTGCAGCAGACATCCGTGACAGTAACTTATTTATTCATGGTACAGAACAGGGTACAGGCCAGAGGGGTGGGGGTGAGAGGATTCACCAGGACAGAGTGGGGAGCAGAACAGGCAGGTGGACTGAAATACACTGCTGAGGAGCGCAGCGGGCGAGACAGGAGAGGTCTGCCGTGCCCGTGGGTCAGCTTCCTGGCCGGTGATCGAACTCTGCTTCGGTGGCTGTGGCCAGCTTCACAGCGCTGCGCTGTAACCCACTGCGCCACCAGGAAGGGCCCTGTGCCAGTAACTTCTAAACACCAAAAAGAACCCAGAGAAATGTCACGCTCCTGAACATCTAGGCCAGTGAGGACGTGCAACATCAGG